TCCCTTCCTCCCCCACCCCCCTCATTATAAAACAATAGTGATTTGAGTTGTTTGAACAAATGGCTCTTCTGGCTGCCAGCAGAGGCTATCCTGAGCCACCTGACGTTGAGTTAAGCTGACCCATTCGGTTGTAACAAACTTGCTGAGTAGCCGACACTTCACTTGAATTCTGACTTCTTCTGACAGGCTTTGGGATCTGTCTCAGGAATCCTGTGTGCCCTCATGGTACCACCATTGGCAGCAGTGCCTGGCGCTTGGGATGTCCTGGATGCTTGCGGTGAAGGGTTACTGGCCAGTGGACATCCCTCCTGTTTCTACACTACACTCTCGTGCAGCTGGAAGAACAGTCGTGTGCTAGCAAACACTGGGACTTCTACACAGAGCCGTTCCTGTCACTGACTTCCAGATAGCTGGATACGTCTTTAGCATAAACACTTCTGCAGCTGCTCTGCACATGTAGGCTGACACAGGGGCACACAGAGCTGGCTTTCATTCACTCACCTTTCAGTTTAGACAATTTAAGATGGCTGCAGCCCAGAGGACCCCCACTCCCATTTCCTCATCTTTTGAATGCCACAGATTTGTTTTGTGTTCTGCACTGATGTAAATGCGCTCCTCTCCGCAGTGAGCTACTCGCCATGGGTGCTGCCGGTTTAAACAGAACTCACAGATGCCGTTGGCGGTGAAGGCGAAACAAAAGTTTACAGGTCCTCCTGGGGTCTGACGATAAACTCTAGGGGCTGTGATCTAAGGTTCAAATCTACTCACGCCTGCTTGCGCTAGAGAAACTTGCCCCCAACTTTAGTCTTATGCACAATATAATCGTAAAAATCCAATCAGGTATTGTAAATTGGCTATTTTGTACTTGATGACTAGATTTGCATATGTACTGTGAGAGCCCTGTGCAGAGGCAGGACAAACGGCAATTGTCGTCTTCATGTCTGTTGCCAAAATCTCTTCAGTGGAAGTAAAAAGGGCTGTTGTGTGTACTGGTTTCCCATGGAAATCCAAGCAGTAACTAGTAGTAGTCCTAGCTCTTCCCCCAGCCCTCTCCATTGTTTATTACAAAGAAATAGATATTTTGAGCTGTACTGGTGGATCTGGGGTGGAGTAATACCAAGTGAAGGCTCTATAGCCCCTTGTGTTGATAGTTTGCTTTTTAGTCGAGTCTCAGTCAAAAACGCTGCTCAGCGGTTCTGCCTAGCAGATGCATGTAAAGCGATGGCTGTACTGGTCTGCCCTTAGGAAGGACTAAGTGTTATCTTTGGGTAAATGTCATGCATTAACAGAGTGAACTGATGAAACCTCCTGCTGCAGTCCTGTTAGCCTGAAAATTGAGCTGACCCCTCTATCGTGAGAGCCTCCTGGGCCGAGGCATCTTCCCAGACAACTTGTCCCAGACTGCCACCTGGCCAACTTGCAGCTGGTACCAACGGCAGCTGGCCAAAGGCGAGACAGCGCTGCAGCCGTCTTCTGAGGCCTGTGTGTGAAACGGAGCAGCACACAAGAGAGTGAGCCAGGGCTGGGTTTGTGACGGTATTGGCAAGGATACAGGTAATTGACCCAGCCTCCTTGCTTGGTAATTGGTGCGATATCGGGATGGAGGTGCAGGCTTGGTGCAAACCTGGGCAGGGAGGTGCCGTAGCTGCTCAAGGGGGAAAAGAGAGGGAACAAACAGGTGAGGCATGGTTGTGGGTTATGGATGGATTTGCTCACCTGTGGTGAGCTTGCAGAAGAATGCATTAACTCCTGTGAGAGTGTGTAAGGAACAAGTTTGGTTGAAGCCTACAGGAGGTGCAACTTTGAAGAAACTGGTGCAAAGACAGAAGCTACTCTCTCCCCTGCTTGATCCACAGCTGTGTAGCCAAGACACTGTTGTCTTCCTTCTGGAAGCTGACAGCATTATTGTTTCGGAGGAGTGTTAGCCAGAAGAGCTCCCTTCTGTCATCCTCTGTGAAAACTTTTGTCTCGCAGCAAGACTAACAGAAGCAGTCACGTTCAGTTCCCTCAGCCCGACGTTTCTCTGGGAGCAAGCCTAGAAGCAGGGGTTGTGCAGTCACTTGGAATGGCTGTTCCTGGTGTCGTAGGGCAGGTCTATACTTTTTTACACAGGGAGGTGGTGCTTGCAGCCTGGGTGATTAAACAGCGGTGTTGCACAAGCCCTTGGTGCTCAGGGGGTGGCTGTGTTTTCTAGGAGTAGCAGAGCTTTCCTGGTTCCTCTTGCCCTGCATATGTTTGTGGCAAAGACTGAGCACGGAGTGCTCGAATGCGTCAAGTTATGGCAGCTTAGTGAGTTACTAAATGAGAGCTGAACCTCGCTCCCTGGGCACCCATGCTCGAGCTGGCAGGTCACACAGTAGTGACGTGTCTTCAACTCAGTCTGCGTAAGAGCACACGCTTGAGTACGTCTGACGGGTGGGTGGGGATGGTGTGCTCTTCCACTGTGCGCAATACACACCCGCGTCTCATCTTCATTCAGCTGGTTGTTCATCTTGCAAGTTTTCTGTGTTGTGAGAGCAGAGTGGTGTGAACTCTGGGAAGCGCTGACTGCTTGTCAGAGCTCAGCATGGGAGATGAGGCTGCAACACCTTGAAAGTGGGATGCGTGACACTCCTTAAGGAACTGGCTTTGGTCTGATGGGCCAGGGGTTAGGCTGGTCCCTGCTGACAGCATGTGGAATTGTTTACCCTGCAAGAGCTGCTGTGGATGGAATTTTTCTGTCACCTCCTGCTGGTTTTATGCTTTATTACACAGTACTAATGTAAAGAAATTTGTTGAGTTTTATGCATATTTTTTATTTTGTACAGATCTTAATTCTGTGGCTTGTTTGGGGATGATGTGATGTAATGGTCATAGAGCAGGCCAAGGTAACAGGCTTTGTATATTAATGTTGCATAGATTGCATGCTACTAAAGTCAGTGAGGGTTGTGTTTCCAGTTTTGTCCCTTGCACTTCTCCAAAACCTTCTCCCCTGCCCTTTTTAATTTACATGTTTACTTTAAAGGCAGGGGAGGTGGGGAGAGGCACCTCAGTATTTCACACAGGTACACAACATCTCTTCACGAAGTTCTGCTGCCAAAGCTGAAGGTGTTCAGCATCGCAGGCTGTTGGATCAGCAGTGTGTATGCATGAGCGAGAGGTGGGGGAAGGAGACACTCCAGAACAGCCCAAAGAGTGCTGTAGGGCCAAAATGAGTATGCTTCTCCCTTCGTGAGAGCTGCCTTAGCCCAGCCAGCTGTTTTCATTGTGCACAGAAATCGGCCAGCATCCCCTAGCGGTGTATTTTCCTTTGGTTTGCCGTATCAGAGATTTCTTCCTTGCTCTTGGCCCCAAGGACGAAGCTATTGACTACAGCTGCCTCTGCCGTGTGCCTGTGTGAGAGGAGGTCCCACAGCGTCTGTCCCCACCTAGTGCTGAAGCAGGTTGTTTTGGTGCCTTTGGTCCAGCCTGAGAGAGAGAGAGAGATGGCTGAGGTTGTATGCATCTCACCATTTTTTTTCCCTTCCCCCTTTCTCTTTTTCCTTCTTTTTTTTTCTCCCTATGATGGCTGCATGTTCTTTGTTTCTCTCACTGGCTGTTGCAGCAGAGGCCTGAGAGGGGCAGGAGAAGCAAGCAGCACATGCTGCTCTTGAGCATCCTGATGGTGTGCCCATGCCTGCTGGCTGGCACAGGCACCAGCAAGCTGCTGGCTGCCCTGGCTGGTGAGAGGCAGGCGGGCACCGATGCACAGAAGAGCCACTGCTCTCACTGGAGGTCAAGTGGTGCGGCATGGACCCGGGGTAGATGGCAGAGCTTGGTGTGTGTTACCAGCAGGCTCACCACATTCCTAGGACTTGGCTTGTCCTTGCAGTTAGTGATAATAGGAACAAGTTGAGTTGGGTGTTCTGCAAGTGGCTGGAGATCGCTGCTGGTTTGAACCACAGCTCCCCACAGTCCCAGTGGCCTGTGGTCAGGTGGCTTACCAGTGGCTGCCAGGAAGGCTCAGACCCAGCTGGGTCTTGCAGTTTGTTCTGCATTCACAGTTCTTGGGCATTTGCTTTCCTTGCTGCTGAGGGTTCTTGGTGACAGCTGAAGTTGGCAGGAGCAGTGATGCAGCTCCTGAAGAGTGGCACGTTCATCTAGGGCGTCTCAGTTGATCATGAAAAGAAAGTGAGGCAGCAGCAGGACTGATGGCTCCATTTCTGGCAGAGGGTAGGCTGCCTGCCTGGTGTGTACGTGCCTGTCACTGACTCGAGGTGGAGGAGGGTTGTGCACTGATGATACAAACTGTTGTGCTTCTGTGGTGTCTCCCACCTGTGCTTGATAGTGACTTCATGCTGTGCATTTCCCAGCAACTTCCACCACTTCCTAGCAAGCGCTGCTGGAAATGAGCTCTCTTTTCATTAGTTACGTTTCCAGGGTTCAGGCATAAATCAAAAGCAAAACTTCCATGTTTTCCTTTCTGGCAAGGATGGGGCTTCATGCGGGGTAGCAAGCTGGGAGCAGTTACAGGGCTTCTCCTCCCAGGGGCGGGCCAGGACAGCTTGTGAAGTGTGTGGCGTCTGTATGCTCTGTGGGGCAACTCGCTGGATGCTGCTAGAGGGTGCTTTGGGTAAGACCACAGCACCGTGGCTCCTCCTGGGAGCGGTTCTTGCATTCTTGAGGGCAGAGTCCCTGCTGGAGCACTGCAGCGTTTCCGGATGCATTACAAACCCCACGCAGAGCCTTCAGTTCCTACGTTGGCAAGGGGGCAGTGAGAAACGTCCCACGCTGTTGCAGGCACTAAGGCCAGTATTTACCACGCTAACCCCTAGCGAGGCTGGTGTTGTCAGCTGAGCACTCACGGGCAGATGATGGGCTATAGGCTACGGGCCCACATTCCTGTGCTTACCGGGATATTCACCTTCCCCACCTTTGGGCATCTCTCACTATTTTAGGCACTGCCACA